TCTGTATTCCCAGAGTCATTGCAGTTCCATACTTAAAATTTCACTGTGAGAAAGTGATTCTGAGAAACTCTCCAGAGTGCGCTGGCCTGGGCGCCGCGCCGGGAAAAGCCGAGCAGGTTGGTACCAGGAGCGTTGGCTCTGCCGCCCGCTCCCATCGCCTCGGACCTCTGGGTCTTCTGGTCTGTCCTTACACCCCCTGCTCTAAGCTTGACTGCAGTTGTTGGCATCGCTCGTTTTCACCAGCTGAGATTGATAATAAAATAAAACATTGGTACTTGGTAGACCCAGGAGGAAGCAAATGGGCGTATGTAAAGCAGCTCGGTGGAACTAGGGAACTGCCTCCGCGAGCACAAGGGAGGTCAGGCTCTCCCTTACAAAGGGAAGAAACTCCATCGAAAGGCAAGAACTGTGTGACTGTAAATGTGATCCCTGGATGGAAAGGGGAGATTTAGTAAACTCTGGAACAGTGTGTTTGGTCTCAATCTAAAACATCACAAGACGATAACGTTCCCTAAAACATTAGGGGTAACCAGTGAACATTCATCCGTACTGTCAGCAATACTCTTATGAACGCAGGGGTAGGTAAGCATAATTTTTTTCCTGATGTGTCATTACAGGCTAGATTGAACTGCAGCAAAACTCTTGCATAACAGAACTGTCCTTTTTTAAATAAAAGCTCTGGGATAAGAAATGGCCAAAGATATCAGAAAACTTAATTTTGCAGTTGGAATATGGAGATTTAGCATTACAAATCTAGGTCACAGTAGTGACTTTTTTTTTTAACTTTCCAGCCTGATGGAATTCAGCCAAAGGAGTTCATTTACTTTTGGCTTTAAGAAAAGGGCAAGGGAAGCACCCTTGCTAATTTGTGAAGTGCCTTAAAAGAGACTTCTAGAAAGTTGTCTTTACAAGCCAGGAAGAAAAAGACTGTATTCCTGTGGAAACTGTTGGAATTTGTGAAAGCCTTTTTAGAAACGGATGAATTGATGGTGATGGAGGGCAGAGAGCCTCAGATCTCCAACGAGCTTGGTCTCGCTTTCGCTTCCAGGTCTGCACTGGGAACAGCCCTGGTGCCAGTGCAGGACCAGGCAAACCTTAACTCATGAAATCCATTTTAACAGAGTCACAGGGTTTGCCACCTGTTTGGCCGCTTTTTTGGGAAAGAAGCGCTAGCTCTGAGGTGTTGTCTGGTAATAAGCTAATAAACAAATGGGTGTGTATTAAGTATTTTGCTATCTGTATGTACATGGATATTGGTATTATGGATAAATGAAGTTTAAAAGGATGTGTAAATGAGAGATCTTTGTAATTTGAGAAGACAGGCCACTGAAGTTCTGGTGAAGGCTTTACAATTGCTTTCAAGTTCAGCTAATCTGATGGAAAGTCATGAGGACTTTGGATTTATAAAGGGAAAACTTTCACATAATGTTAGGCACCATCTCTGTGCATAAATAGGACAATGTATAAAATATGAGTAAGTTGACAATTAAGGCAACCTGGGGTTTAAGAGTAAAGTAACGTCAGGAAGAGTGAGTTGTGCTGGGGAGGCCGAAGTGGTGATGTCACGCTGCTGAACTTCGCATTTGGAGCGTTAAAAGTGAGTTTCATTTTCACGGCTGCCTCTCTAATGCTTCCCTTCAAAATTCAATGCTATCTCCGTCTCCCGTACTAATATATGGAGCTGGGGAGCATGGCAAGGTCAGGCTAAGCAGCCCATCTCGGGTCTTTACGTGGAGCGTTCTCCCGCGCCGCTGCAGTGCCCAGCCTGCCTATCCAAGGTGCAGAAAGCGCGGCGTTTTGAATGATGCGGTGGTGTTCGCCGAAGCTGAGGTTGCTCAGCGTTCGTTCCCGCGTCCCCTGTGGGAAGCAAGGGGATTGTAGCTGTGCAATCTAAAACTCTGAGCAAGAGAGAGAAGACTTTCAGTGAAAGTCCGTTGG